CGACTCCAAGCATAAAGTAGAAAACAAAAGGCATAAAGGTCTAGGAGGAAGCGCTGCTGTATGAAGGACTCACCAGGCAATCTGTAATACGTGTGAAATACTTAAAGGCTATAGCAATACAGACATTTAACTTTAGACAAGCGGAGTGATTCACAGTAAGAGGGAGCATTTTTAGCCATGTGATGTCCAAAAATAGTTTTTATTGGGCTTCCATGATTTAAAAATATAAAAACAAAAACAATTGCAACCAAATCAACCTTTTTTTGAAATCTGACCTTCTCCTAAACACAACTTCAAATCAATCATGCAAATTGTGCCATGTCATTGTGATTTCATTGGTTAAAAAACGTTTTATTTTCATGTATTGATGCTAGAGGAAGAGCAGCCCTACTTTGCGACATTAAAGGTCACCTATAAAGCAAAATGCACTATTTGATGTCTTTTATACATAAATATGTGTCCCCGGTGTGTCAGGGAACTCACAAAGTGTCAGAAAACAAAACCCTCTCTCTTTCCCTCCGTACCCAAATCTCTAAAAACGGGGGTACAACGGAGCTGATCCAGATTTGCTTGGTGTGTGTGTGTGTGTGTGTGTGTGTGTGTGTGTGCGTGCGTGCGTGCGTGCGTGCGTGCGTGCGTGCGTGCGTGCGTGTGTGTGTGCGTGCAGAGGTAGGAGAAGTACTCAGATATTGTACTTGAGTAAAAGTACCAAAGTGTAGGAGTAACAAGTAAAAGTATTCAAAAGGTCACTCAAGTAAAATAACAAAAGTAGCCTATTAGCATCAAAGTAAACTTAAAGTACCACAAGTAAAAGTACTCATTGTGCAAATTGGTCCATTTCAATATATATGATATGTTTTATAATGATTGATCATTAAAGTGTTCTCAAAGCTGGTAAAGGTGCAGCTAGTTTGAATGACTTTGTATACTGCAGGGTAGCTTGTGGATTTACTCCAGGTGGAACTAAAGTCGGATTTAACACTTGATTATATTTCACATCATTCATCCAGATCTGTAAAGTAACTAAAGGTATTAAATAAATGTACGGGAGTCAAAGTACATAATATATCTCTGAATTGTAGTTGAGTAGAAGTGCAAAGTAACATAAAATAGAAATACTCAAGTAAAGTACCTCAAAATTGTACTTAAGTACAGTACTTGAGTAAATCTATTTAGTTACTTGAGACGGCTGAGTGTTGCTGTATTTGTGGTAGTCATGCCTCTGTCTTGGAGACTATTGTTATTATTGGTATTTTATGTAAAGTAAACATGTGTTTTATTTGCAGATGGTGCAGCGTTTGTTACTGTTCTGTGTTAAGTAAGTTAACATATGCCATATTAGCTAGCAGTATGTTAGCTAGCCCTGTTTGTGAATTTACATTGTAACTGTGATATAGTAAAGCTGTGTGTCTGTTTTCATACATTACAGCGCTGCTTACTACTGTAGTTCATTTGCCCTTGCCTAAAAAACAACAAAGAACAAGCAAAGACAATCTCTGTCTCTTGAATGGAGGGCTTTTGCAGGTTAGCTAGCTGTTTAGCTGGAGCTAAGGATACACACTGTAAGGGCAGTACAGTAGGTCTACATCGTGGTGTTTTTTTGGGAAGTTTGTTCAAAATGAAGTGGATTCAGTCCTTTCCCTCATCCCTGGTTCAAGTCAATGCCAGATGCTCTCTGCAAGTGAGACATTTTAAGTATTTAACTTATTATAACATTATTGAATTATTTAAATATTTTCACCATACTTTGATGTAAGTTATATTCCGCTATAGTGATGTGTCCCTGGGGTAAGTTGTTGCATTATTGGATGCCTGTGTGTGTGTGTGTGTGTGTGTGTGTGTGTGTGTTTGTCTTTGATATATTTTTTCATAAATGATGAGGCACTAATCAAAAGTGAAACATCAATTCGAGGAATGGTTCCCAACAAGCAGGTAAGCGGGAAGAGGGAAGAGAGACAGAATGGAGGGATGGAGCTTTTATTAGCTCTCCAGGTCATGTGACCTTGGCGCTCACTATCACACACATGCATAAATGGACACAACCTTCAGCTCTCATCAGCGGCCAACATGTCCTCCAACAAAAATAGACTGTGACAAATACAAAGAGACAATTGTTTTTTATGAAATGGGGAAGCGGCTAAAAATAAACATTGCTCTTGCTTATACAAGCAAAGGAAGTAGTCAAAAGCACTTTGTTTTTAAAAGTGGTGGGGACACTTTTTTCCGATAAAAAACCGATTGTATTTCACACCCCACACCAGCCTGCAGATCTGTGTTTGCTCTTCAATGTCGCAGAGTCAACTGTTAAGGCAATTATGGTATTATTAAATCTTAATACAGTGTAATCCTAATGAAATGTAACTTCTAACAAAGTAGCATCCTTTCAAGTGTTTTTAATCCTTTTGTCTGTGTTCACGAGGGTAAGATGAAGGGTTGTATGACGGAAAGACAGGGGGAAAGGAAGACATTTGCTCTACGGGGGTAGCTGCGACACCCAATTGTGCTTTGTACGGTGTGAGCTTTGCTTATTGTGATAGGGCGACCACCTGGGCCCAAATGTTGTTGTGCTGTCATGTAAATTATATTTTGATGTGTCCCTATAAGAGAGTCTGTCACACACAGAGAAGGACACACTAGAAGGAGTCGTCATGCTTACAAGCATTACAAAGAAAATATCTTTGCCTAACTCATCATTTTCTCTAGACAGCAGCTGATTTGAAGTTGCTACCACACAACGCAACAGCCTGCCTGCTTCTTTATGTTCACAGACAGAGAATGGACAACTTGGACAAGAATAAACTGTCGAAAATGTGCACTATTTCGCTGCTGCAAAGCAGGAGCAATATTTGATTTTTTATTTTCTGTGTAAAGTTAACTAACATAAAATGTGCCCCATGTAGAAATTGCACCATTTGCATCCCCAGCAATACAGGCACCAAGCGTGAACAGACAAAACAAATAAACTCAATGTGTTCTTATTTATTACCATTGCTGTTTTTCAGAAAATGTTTCAACAAATTATACTTTCAAAAAGTGTTGGGGACATGTCCCCAGCGAAAATGACACTTAGGGTTCAAATGCAACTGACATCTCTGCAGTGCAGCATACTGTCACGACTTAACACTCCTTCACTACAAAGCCTTGGAACTGCGTTGGGAATTATTTTCGTGTTTGTCTCAATGTTTGTCTTCTAGTCCATTACACATCTCATACTCACCACACACAGGAAAAAGTAATGAAACCAGCAGAAATTCTTTAAAATGACATTTCTACAGCAAATATACCAAAGCAATAACAACACGGGAGCGTGAAGTGTAATCATTACTGTCTTTTAACATCAGCGCGGCTTCTCCCGCTAACATTACAAGACAATTCCACTAAATAGGATATGAACACATGACATGGCAATGGAATAGTTGACTTTGAATGCGCTTGAATATAAAGATTGCTGTAAAAAAAACGGTGTTGAATGGAGCCAGAAAAGGCTGCTCAGATTAGAAGTGGAAAGGCAGAATGAACACTCACAGCTTTCACATACATCAACATGAGCAACTTTCTTTGACCTCCTCTGAATTGGGTCCCGGGCGAGGATTATGGGCAGTGCTTCAGAAAGAGATGAGCTCTTCGCTCTCTCAACAGCCAATTTTTAACCTCTACGGCAAGCCAACTACTCTAAATCCTTCAACACTGCGAAGCGAAAAGGAGGGGAAGAAAGAAGGCTTTAATTCACCTTTTCATGTTGGAGCACCAAGGTCGTTCTGCTATTATCAGGAAATCAAAGTGAATAGGTGAGAAGAACAGAGGGGGAAATCATTTCACTAGAGGCGCCACGGGATTAAGAGCAACGTCTGAAGAAGCTGACCTAGAGCAATCATGGTCTTTTTAAAAGGGTCCCAGATTGGATGGAATGAAAGGATGGATGTTAGTGTAATGTGCTGCCAAGTTGTTGGCTTGAGGATGGCAGGGAAGAGCTGTCAAAGTCATTATGGTGAGACAGATACTCCAAGCATTAAGGTTGAGATTACAGCTCCATGCTCGGGGTACAGCCGCTGATCCCCCCTCAGCCTCAGGGGACAAAGCTGTGCCATCAGCAACCCACGGAGCCACCGCTGTTGATGAGCAAGGGCGGTTGGAGGAGATATCACAGTTGGAGGAGGCTGGGATTTGACAAGCTGTCTTGGCCAACCCTAGTGGGCCATCAGCTGTGTGTGTGTCAGTGTGTGTGTGTGAATGGCAGCAGCCTGCTGTGTTCCCCGGTGCGTTGTGGTCTGTGGCCTTGAAGCTATAGCACAGTCCTGGGGCTGACATATTCTAATCCTGTTTCCTCTGGCTTTGTCACACCATGGGGCTCCTCCAGCCTTCCTCAGCTAATTTCCATCCCAACCGTTTGCTTGTTAATCAATGCAATGTGTTCGAAACAAGGAGATGTTGCAGTGTGAAGATTTGACAAAAGATGCTGGCTCAAGTGAGCTCTTTGGCAATTTTGCACTAAAGTGACCTTGAGTAATAGCAGGACTGTGGCTCAGTTGTTCCCCCTTCCTCCTGAGGTCCGCAGGGTCTCAGGTTTGAAGCCAGCATGTCCAGCTGTGCTCAGTCTCCCGTGCTCCTACTTTGTTTGTATTGACTTTGTACACATTTTTGGTGGATCACTTTCATTCTACTGTTATACATTACATCACATACAGCTGATGCTTGTATCCAAAGCTGCTTACAATAAGTTGTACAAGCATGAAGCTACAAAAAAACCAAAACAAGAATCCTGCAAAAACATTAGCTTTCCGAAGGCTGAACCATTGTAAGTGCTACTGCATTGGCTTCAAGTAAGACAGTGGAAACAGGTGGGCTTTTAGTCTGTGATGGAAGATATCAATGGGGAGCTTGTTCAACCATTTTGGTGCCAGTCGATTGTGGAGAATGACGGAAAATCAGTTGTGTGTGTGTGTGTGTGTGTGTGTGTGTGTGTGTGTGTGTGTGTGTGTGTGTGTGTGTGTCAAGAGTACGGTAATCACCAGTTTAAAAGAGAACTTACCTGGGAACTGGTAGCTGTAGCTTGGGGCAAATCCAGTGTAACCTCTGCCATATGTTGCTACAATGTTAGGATAACCTGGGGAGAAGGCAAAATGACTTTTAGAAAAGCATCATGATAAAAAAGTACACATAAAAACTTCTATAATTGCATAGTCCTTTCCATCACTTGTATCTTAGTCTATCCCACTAAAGATCAAAGGAGAGCTGCATTAAAAACAACATTTATATAAATTAGACATGTTTCCTTCCTTTTCTGAGGATGGATTTTACACATATTTAAGCCATTATTGCTACAGTACTATCTGTAAAATATAAAATGTGGGTAATTAATCCTTGTCCTCGCAGCCTGGTCTCCACTGCAACCTAAACTGTTTGCCTGAGGAGGGTACCCCCGACACAAAAAACAGATACATTTAAATGTGAAATCATTATTAGCAAGTGACATACGTTTCCACAGTTGATGAAATAAATTCATTTGTGTTAGATAAATATTATGCACATTCCAAAATGTAAGCATTCAACTCACTCAGCATGCCCATGCCCAGCATGAAGGCATCCACAGTGTACGGAAGGCCCCTCGCCCGACCTCGTGTCCCCGGGGGACACATCACTTCTTTAGGCTGGGCCTTTTTGCATTCTACCTGTGAAACAGAAAACGAGAAAACAAGTCAAACAATACTTGACTTACACCGTTCAGTGTTTGTCTCAACCATTTTTGATAATGTTTTGTTTTTTATACCAAATGGGCTTATCATTGTTGAACTTGATGCTAAACATTTTTGAATGACCGGCTTCATTAGAAGTTTGTTTTTTAGACCCTCCAGTTGGGAAATATTGCAGCCAGATAGGCAGCAAATGTTGCCCTTAATTGTATTCACATTAAATTAGAGACTCAGACCATTTTTCTTTAAATCTTTTCATTTACATGTAATGTCCAAGTTCAGGATTTGTTTAGAGCCAACATGATCTTACTGACTCTTTAGGTCTTTCAGTTCAGAAGTTAAGGGTGATGTAAAGATTCAACAAATTCAACATCATTTGTGCCTTACATAAGGCAAACTTACATAATTAAAATTCAGAATGGCTGTACATTGATGTCAAATTTATTTAAACTCATTTGTCAGACACTGTCCAAAGTAAATGAAGTGTGTTCAACCTCTGTAGGAAGAAGAGGTTGAGTAAAAGTGCATCTTTAAGTACAATGGGCACTGAATCTGCTCTCGTTTGTGTAATTTCCAGTAATTATTTCTCGTCTCATCTCCCTCTCATTAGCTAACTTCTTAATTTAAAGGAGGACCACACACACTCACACACAGACACCTTCTGCACTGTTCCCCCCTACATCACTGTTACTGCTTTTATCTGGGGGATATCGGAAATGCTAATTTGTCCTGGATTGCGCCAAGGCCATTCGCTTAAGGTCAGAGAGCTTTTGTTTCAATGGCTTTGCCGATATCATCATTATGCCTCAATCGATATATGCCTGAGACAGAAAAACACAACGTGCCGAAGGCCCCTTTACCCTTCAAAGTTCTTGTTTAACTTTGCTAGCAGTGAATGGAAGGGACGTTGCAGCTATTAACCACCAAGTGGATACAGGATGTGCTACAGGAAGCGGACGCTGGCGGGGGTCACAGCAGCCTGGTGTGACCACACACTGAAGCTGAGGGGGCTCAGGGAAATTGGCATCTAGCAATCAAAGGGTCAGCGATTTGACCCCATTTCCCATAGGGATGTCTAAGGTATAGCAACGTTTGTATGTCGTTATGGTTAAAAAGCTAAGTGACATGTAATGTAAAGGTGCTTCAAAGCTGATGATGATGGTTCATCATTAAAATGGACCATTTAAAAAGGCAGTGTGTCTCCTAATTTTAACAAATAAAAGGTGTATGGCATGGTATATGTGTATCCAAGATAAGATATTATACTGTGTATATACTCACATACACATAGATATACAGTACACACATACACAAATGTATGCCACTGTTATTCCCCACTGAATAATGTGGGCTACACATATGCTCCTATGGTTATGCTATGCTTCAGGAAAATGCTTTTCCTTCGTTTTCGCCACGCCTAAAGTGAACGAGTGCAGTTGTGCCATTACACCAAGGTAGTTAGGGTTCTTACTGATGTCAAGTGGTCTTTAGTCAGTGTTTCTGTTCTCTAGTCAGTTTTTTACATGTTAAAATGTCCAGGTGTCTTGCAATACAGATAGCCTCAGTCAATGCTTTAGTCTCACATACCCACTACTCCCATAAGACAAAAACACCCGAGCACACCCACACCATACTACACAAACCCATATTTTATCATTCAGTTTGGTTTGGTCCGCTTTGGTATTTTGTCATTGTCTTATTTTTGTTCCATCTGTATATGTGATCTTATATTTGTGAGATCCAGTGTTGACACTTGAGTGAATGGAGCAGTGTGTGCCTTGATTTAATGAGTCATTGCTATGAGAAGCTGTTTAGATCTTGCAGTACAAAAGTCTGCAGATAGAGAAATGCTCTGCCAGCCAACAGTTAATGTCTCCCGTTGTGGGCTTGAGATTGGCAGGGCCACCCACCCCTGGCCCTGAGGGGAGATGGAGAGTGCAGCATGGGTCTGTGCCACTTGGCAGGGTGCAATTAGTAACCCTCCAGGTGACGAAAGCAAAGGGGAACAGCAGGCACACAGTTAGGCAGTTACACATTTCAATCACACCATGACACATGGGGAAAGTTTAGAATGATGCAACTGTATTTACCATAAACCAACCATGACTTTAGTAAGTTAATATCAACGGAGCAGTATCAAATAATAATAATATGTTCCTACTCTCAGAGGGGGTGGGCAGAAAAGATGTTGTGCGGCTCTTTATAATATATGTGTCTTTGCTATAGAGCGTGGGGTAAAGCAGAGTGCTGGCTTCCTTTATTTATCTGTGTCATTATGTCCAGTTATGAAGCCATAAAGCCTAGTTCGCTTTACTACACCAGCCACCCAATGCTGTTGATGCCATTTGACTTACACAATTACGTGCAGGAAACTATTCTCTCAATCTCTCCCCTCATAGTTCTGTCTGTCTTGTTTTTGATGGGTGGCTTTGATAACGCTCCAAATGGAAGAAAAACACTCGTCCTTCAATCGAGGAAAAACCATGTTGCTTTGTATTAAAAGGAGTCAGTTGGGGTGTTTGGGCATTTGATCAGGGTTATTATTGGACACCTCCCTGGGGCAGAACCCACCCACATGGAGGGATAAAGCTGTATGTCCAATCGAGTCAACGAAACACCCTTAGACTAAGATGTGTCTGTGGAGAAGGACATCTGGGATTTCTTGCTCCAGCTGTGACCTTAAACCAGAACAGTGGCAGCAAATTGATTGATTATCTTCATGTGAGGTTTTATTTAAATCACAGCTTTTAAAGGCTGCAGATAGGGCTGTCAGTCAAGAGTTAGTGAGGTGTAATTGTGACCACTGGTCACACGTTCTTATGTCATCAATAATGACAATAAAAACAATATTAGATCATTAAAAAACTATTTAAAAAGAAGGTATAGCAATATAAATTAGTCCCATTATCCAGCCGATTCAAACAGTTATAATAATAAAACAACATACATGATACATGCTTCATTAAATATGAAATATGTCATTTTACCCTAAATAAAACATTGAAAAAAGTGTTATTTTATATTACTTATCCTTATATGATAACCGCAAAAGGAGGTATATTCTTACAGATTGGAGTCATGGCTTTACCTACACACAGCTTAAGTAAAGGTTGCTTCACTAATCTAAAAAGTGTCATATTTTTATGTAAAACTGTATCTTACGATAAAAGATTTAGAAAAAGCTTTTATTATTAAGTTCAATAATATATATTTTATTATGAATGATACCCCATTATAATTAGTCCAGGTTCAAGAGAAGGGCAGGACAGTGATTGTACATAAATATAGTTAATTTAGTAAGTAAAAACTAATTTTCAGAGTTTGTCAAATAAGAGAAATATGTCTAAATAACCAGCAAGCTTAATCTGAATGATTAAAAAATATCGAACTGATAGACAGCTGGTAAAAATTCAACAATTCGGTGGCAAACAGGATTTTCCCCAGTATGCCGGATGGCCAGTAGTAAGCAAGTGTGGTAACTAGCAATTAAGCGGGAAACCTAAGGCTGTGTTTAGAAACAATATCAGATTTTACCTGAATCGGACATTAAATATCCCAGGAAAAAAGGTTTTTAAAAAAAGAATAGAATACAATTGTAAATGGTACACTTCTTATTTACCATCCTTCCTTCCACCCAGCTAACCATCCATCATCTCTCACCACTTATCCATAGGGTAATGGAAAGCTAACTGTTCCCAAGCCGATAGCAAGCAAACACCCCAGAAAAGGGACCAAGCAGTGATACCTCCCACACCATCGTCCCATATTAGTAATGTCCTATTGGCACAAATGTGAAAAGTTAATTCAAAAATGTCTGTCATAGCCATCAGTGTCAGTTGCTGTTGAATCAATGGCGTTCCTTGATTACAGGTAATCTATTATCCTTTCCAATCATCTTCTATTAAATCCACAGCTAACTTCTGTCAATCTGACTGCAAGTTTCCAAGGTTTATGGACAGACTAATCAACACTTTTAAGTTAAAAGAAAGAGATCCAACTTTAATGAGTTGTGTTCCACTAGATGACCTCTTTGCTTCTGTCGCTGCCACTCTTCTCTCCATTGTACCTGAGATTGAGGCCCTGTCATAAAGATGAAGACTCAACAGAGTGGAAGTCAATAAGCCTTCTCTCTTTCAGAACTCGTCTTTTCTCCCTGATTCGCTCGGTCTCAATTTTCCATGAATGTTTATTGCCAACTTAAATGCATGAGTGAATAACCTCATGTATGAAGTATCCAATACATGCTTAGTGTCCATTGCTGTCAAAAATACACACTGTAGTCTTCTGATAAAACACATGATCTGTAAATGCAAGACAATGGGTTCCAATTTTGCTCGGTTTGCAGTTTTTTACTGCTGTAGACCAGTATACTTAAATGTTCACAAAGCATTTGGGAAATAGGGGCTTACACTAGCCTATATTAGCCCACACTGAATACAAAGGCAAATTAAACATTGCTACTTCTGTTGGAAGTTGGTATTAATGTCTGCGAGGGCTGGGACTTAAAGCTGTATTATTGTTCTTCTTCTTCTTCATACTCTCCTGCCCTCCCCTGCTGGTGTAAACAATGCACGCAATCCCCCTGTAGCCCAATTTAAAACAGGCAGTCGATGAGTGGTGTGAAAAGAGGAAGGGGGCTGGCGGTCCATGGGGGGATATCGACTAAAATAAAGAAATCATGGTCAGCACTGCTGGGATCCCGAAACAATAAAAGCAAGTGATGTCCTATCATGTGTAAATCAATAGTTAGCAAGTGCAGGGCTTATTTTTCCTGTGTGCAACTCTGGGTTGTTTGTTTGATTTCACCTTCATACTGACTCAGTGACAGAAATAAGACCGGGGAAAAAGAGCTCACTCTGGCAGCGGCATTGGGTCATGTTAAAATGAAGGAGAGGTAAGACGATTTAAGAAAGTAATGTGTGTGGGGTGTGTGTTGCTGAGAAGATGGTTTGTAAAGGAATCATATTATTTTAACATAAGCAACAACAAATTCTATAGAATTAAACACTGAAACTCCGGCAAAAACATTTTTGTATTTGTATTCTGTACTTCTTTATTCTCATGTCAGCCTCAACATGAACTAAGTTATCTAAAGGAAGAGCACATCGATCTGAAGCGCACATAAAGAGAGATGCGCTGTGCACAGTATTACCTAACAGAACCATACCATTTTGTTATATAACACAATTACAAATAACCTTTTTTTTCCCAGCATTGTTGTGTCAGGAACATAGAATCGGTTGTTGTATACACTTTATACCGGCCTCCATCCCCGAGAATCTGTATGTAATGGATTATGGCATTTGTGCAAATATATGTTATAATATGTATTTTTTTGGAAAAAAATCTAAGCTCATGTCTCATGTTGCTCCTTACTTAACAGGAGGCCTGGGGCTTTAGTCTGTATTTGTATTATCAATAACACTTGGTCCCAATCTATGTGAGAAAGAAGGGGAAACGAAGGTGGAGTGATTGTGTGATCATGTTTTCGTTTAAGGTTTATTTAATGAAATTTGCAAATGGAAGATCTTGGTGGAACTAAGGTTTGTTGTAATGTGCAACCTGCAGTATTATTTGACTTGCCATGGAACCAGCAAGACAATCATTTTGGCTGAAAGACAAAAACAATTAAAAACCACTTGCTAGACCTTTTAAGTTGGAGGGTGGGAACCGAAAAAACTTTTATCTGTTACAATGAAATACCTTCAGTCATAGCAAGCCATTCTAGTCTAATTTGCAGAGCATCATGCTGTGGAAATTGGCCGTGGGGGCAGAGGTAGGGCAGGTTGTTCTGCCCTTTTGCATGCTTCGGGATCATACACACAATTTCATGGTTAGTGATCAGTTGCAAGGAACAGACAGCTGACCTCCACTTCCCTCATCCCTCACTCAGTGTGTGTGTGTGTGTGTGTGTGTGTGTGTGTGTGTGTGTGTGTGTGTGTGTGTGTGTGTGTGTGTGTGTGTGTGTGTGACCAGTTTCCTTTGGTCTAGTGTCAGTTTACACAATCTCTTTCACTGCTACACTTCATAAAATCAAACATGAATCCAGATCTGTGTCAGACATTCTGAAATGCAATGGGAGCCACTCACCATTTTATTATTGATTTCATGAAAATGGATCTCGCAGACTTTCTCCACCACATCCTCAATTTCAAATGTAACAAAGCCAAAACCTGCAGAAGAGACAGATGGGTAGAGAGAATAATGGCAAGAGTAGAGAAAGAGGAGGCAAGAAATAGAAAAGGGGAAGGGGAGGAGGGCACACTTGGTCATAATTCCACAAAAGCATGATCCGCTACAGCTATCAGCACTCATTTCTATCGATTAAGAGGTGGAAATGGAGCCTTTTACCTCACACAGAGCTTCTTCTGCTTCCTCAGGCTCACTAAGCTTTGGTTCAACAAAAGCTCTGTGGCGATCAAAATGATAGACATCTCACAATGGGACTACAATACTCTAGTTTAAATTGAACAAAAAACAGAACAAAACAGCTATAGAGACCATTGAAGTTCTTAGTTTGGTATATACAGTGGTGCAGGAATGAGTCCTAAAACCTGGAAATGAGTTTTATCACTTCTAGTTCCCTGATTTTAGTCACCTTTGTTGTTTAATAAATTAGTTATTGGTTAGATGCCTAAAATAAGATCTGTGGTTAAAACAAGTTAAAGAGATTTTCCCGTATTGTTCTACGCCGTAAAATACTTCAGTAAATACTGGGAATGTCTGAAGCCTCTATGCGTGTTAAAAACAGCAGTTGCTAATAAGTGGCTAAAGTCAGCCATTTACTTACCGTTGGTGACACCAACCGACCAACGGGTATCATAAACGTCTGATTGCAAAAAACCTGAAATTCTGAAATCCAATTGGAAAATCGCATTCCTTTTTAAAGGTTTCCCTTACGATGCTTATTCCCTTTCTTGTCTACAAAAATAAATCATCACTACACCACTCTATAATGTGTTTGCTTTATTTAAGTAGAGAAGCTAACCAGTTTAGGCTTGAACTGATGGCAAATCAACATTCTGACAAACCAAGTAAAAGGGAAGGTCAGTAATACAAGGTAATATAGTGATTTATCAGCATTAGCTCCACAGGGGTATTTGAGATTCAAAGGAAATACATATCAGACATATTGATAGTTGAACACAGAGCAAACCCACAAAATGTATTTCTTGAAATGGTATGTTTGTATTTCTCCTTTATTTTACTTGATTTGTTCTTTAATTATGTCCATCTCAGAATCATGTTGTCTTTAGAGAGTTACCTGACACAAAATAACTTTTTTTGGGTTACCAATATATATACAGTCAATTTATAATGACAATCAACTGAAACTGACTTATCCTTTCAAAACATTTAAAAAATAACATGCCCCCGAAGAACAATGTTTCAGAGTTCATGTCCCATTTTCACTTAAATGCACAAATGAACAGTTTGAAGATTTTTAACTTCGCTTTGGAGAGTAGTACTGTTTACACTGAGAATGTTGGGGGGAAAGTTCCATCCTCCCAATCTTCCATTCCTCTATTCAGTCACCCTCTATTGCCTCCGCTGTAGCAGTCACAGGAACACATGCACATCTGCTGCAGCTATATACAGATTTGAGCTCTAATAACCCCACTTAATACATGAATTGAAGAAGAGAAGAAAGAATAGACTTTGTAGAGACAAACCATCTAAAGGAACAACGGATACTCCAGTTACTTTGATCAGGTGTAAGGAAACACCACTCAGGTGGACGTAATAGCATTAGTTCTCACTTGTTCTGTTGAACGATTAGAGCCTTCCTTCAAGCCTGAAGGAAACCTAAAAACAAAATAAACATATCTAATCTCTTTATTTCCTGCCACCTCCCCCTCCTTGCCATTCCCTTCTCCTTCTCTGCTCCTCCTTAGAGGTACCCTAGCCACCACTGACAGCCAACAAACCAGCTGTCAGGGGCAATTTGTCAAAGAGCCCGGCAGCCAACATACAGGATGGGTGGCATCGTGAGCGATAGGGCTGATGCGATATAGAAGGATAAAATACGAGTTCCAGTGTGGCAGAGATCTGAGAGACATAAAGAGGCGGTTGTAGAAATTCATGTTCACTATAATATACAGTATGTACATAATGCATTAAATGTTATCGAATTCTGAGATGGTTATTGTACTATGTTGATGGTCATTTTGCTAAGCAGCTAAGGTTTAAGTAAGACATCTTAGATTTCAAGTGACAACAGACATCTATTAGTCAAAGTAATGACTCTTTTCCAAGCTAAGGGGGTTGATGTGAGAGCCACCAGATCAGCCAAGAGAGGAGGTCTGGGGGATAGATTGACCAACAAATTGTCAGAATTGTACTAGAAACAGTCCATGTTATGTGTTTTTTCTCTGACCTTCATGGTTAGGGTTAGGGAGGTTGTTGTAATCATGATGATAAATGATGCCCCAACCTCACTCAGACCTTATCTTACCCCAAACCGTATTCTACCCCAGACCTAAAACAGTTGTTTTGTTGTTTAATACGGAGGACTTGCAGATTTGAATCATGGTCCCCAGTTAACCATTGAGTGATATTGTGACGACTTGATTTCATAAATATGAACCTTGCCTATATTTCTATACAGATTGTACCTGGTCATATTTCACATCGTTTCCGTGACTAGATTTAATTTAATATTGGAAGAAAATATTTGTGACCTCAACCATTTTAGGAAAGCAAACTTATATTGTTTTCATGCATTACAGAATGAGTAAAATTCACTACATTGTACAGAAAAAACTAGTAAGATGGCATTGCTATTATTCAGAAAATGTAAATCCACAAACAAAACAAAAGTTCATACATTAAAAAAAAGCCTTCAACAAATGAGTACAACACTAACAAGAAATAAAGCGAGCCACAAAATACATCCAACTTGCCAGCATGATGTTGATTGAAGTATGAAACTGAGCAGCCAATTACAGGCCACCATGTAGTCAGCCAATCATGGGAGTGGATCAGCACAGAGCTCCAACAACAGAGCAGAGAGCAACGACAGATAGCATGTCCCTCACTGTGACCAGAGGCGGCAGCAGGAGCCATGGGGGAGCTTATTTAGTAATAGCAGGTACTGAACATTTGGTCCATAAAAACAAATAACTACACATGATGTGATTTGTATACAGGGTATTTTTCTTCTGAGTACATTTTTACAGCGTGTTATGCATGCGCATGCTCAAGTGAGCTGAAGACTGTATTTATGCGTAATTGACTACACTACTACACATAGAGCAGACACAATACTATGCCACATTGCACATTTACAGAAATAACTTAAAGCGTTTGGCTTTAACCCTCCTTTTGTCTTCGTTTTCCCCCCCCCTTACTTTGGTGTTCGCGGTCAAATTTGACTGGTCCTGTTTAAACTGCTATTACATTAACACAAAAACCATTCATCATCACCACATTTCATTTAACACCCTTTCAAACTGTAAATATTGTATCAGACTACTGGTATACATGAAAAACTGCAGTAAATATACAAAGAACAGACCCTTAACATGTATTGCGTGTGCCAGGTGTGATCCATGTGGGGGGATGGGCACATAAGTGGGGGGGACATATGAAGAGAATGACGGAAAATCAGCTTTTACGTGTCTTAAAAATGACGGTTGCAAACAAGTCTTGAGAATAACAAGAGAGATACCTCACAGATTGAATGGGTCCAGGCATCATACCGATGTGGCCTCAATAAAACAATTGTCCCACAACAGGGCCGGCCCTGACCAATTTGCTGCTCTAGGCAAGATTTTAGCTGGCGCCCCCCC